GCCCCGGTCGAGGCTTTGGCCGACTTCCATGGCCTACCGACCAGCTCAGCTCCGTTCTCGATTGCCGAAGCTCTTTCTTTCGCAGACCTACCGAGCCACGACCACGCCCCAACGCCTCCCGAAGTGAAACCATCTGAGATACCACCGAGCCCCGTCGCGAAACGCCCCCTAGACTCAAATGCGGCCGATGGTGAGCCTCCGGCAAAGAGACAGAACACGGGAAACAATGAACCGGCTGGCATCAAGCACGAGGTAGATGATGGAGCCGCAGGTCTCGACCTGGGAGCTGCGCTTATGAACGCATTGGCGAACGTACCGCTCGAGAAGGACCAAGGAAACATAGCCTCTCATGAGGTTGCCGGCGTGCCGACGTTCGTTGCCGAGCCCTTGGATGCGCGGTCTCCCACTGTCAGTCCTGGCCCGGACAAGATTGAAGATCGGATCATGAAGGCGTCGAGCAATTCTATCTACGTGATTAGGTTCATGAGTTTTCCGCTTTTGGGTAACCTTGCCGTTCAGATTCTGCTGCGGCTTTCGCAGCAGAACCGGCTCGAGACGGAGCTACTGCTTGCCGACCACGAATCCCACTTCAGCAAGGACTACGAGAGACTGGTCAACATGTTCTTCACTGCAAGAAAGGTTTTCTCGGATAGCCCGCTGTTTTTCCCAGACGATCTAGGCATCACCGATTTGGACGACCGTGAGACGATCCGAATGGCCAACCTGGCGTCGACAGCTGCCAGTGTCTTTGGCGCCAACGACGTGGCAATGCTGGATGTGCATAAATCGTTTCTCAACATTTTCTTGCCCGAGGACGGCGGGTATCGGGCGTCTTTGACGGATCTGCTCGTCGGCCTGAAGACTCAGGTTTTCATGGATAGCTTGCGAGACGTGGAAGAGGCCGAACATGTAGCCGCACTCGTTGATGAGTTCTTTCCCGTCGACTCCAACGATTTGCTGGGTCAGCGAACTGGGGATGCTCAGTTAAAATTGGCCGAGAGGCTGCCCACCACCCGGATTCGGGAGAAACGGAATGCATTGCTGGGCGTGGTAAACGACCCTCATATCAAGGGTGAGTTATTCGTCTTCTCGTCTGTTTCCGTTTCTAACCGAGGCAGGCTGGCTAAGCAGTCAATATTCGGCCGGTCACTTTGCCGACGACTTGAGCGTATTCTTGCGAGGTCATCTCAACATGGTCGTTGATTATGCCGACAAGTATGGCGTCAATATTCCCATTAGTCGTACGGACTTGGATGCCACGCAGGTACACAGTGAACCTGAAACTTCCGAACTGGCGTCGATACTGCAGTCGGCAACATCCCAGTTTGCTCGTGACGGAGAAACCCAAGCACTGAATCACACGGCCCCCCATGAGTTCATGGCGGACGCATCGAACCCCCCAAGCGGCGAACTGGACATCGCCAAGGCATTGGGCCAAGCTCTCTCGCCTTCTGGACTTCAGGTCAAGCGAGAAGCTATGCCTGCTCACCCGCCCGACCCTGGCGATTCGATGGACTTGGCGTCGCTGATCCAGGAGCAGCTGGGTTGCCCCCCCAGACCACATAATAGCCAGCCTGGGTATCCAGCAACACAAGCTACGCTTGCACCATCGACACGCGATACGCCGTCCCAATCCTTTCCACACTACGCGACGCCTGAGGCTCGGGCACAGACAGCCGGGCCGACGGCGAATATCAAGCCCCAACTTCAATCCGATTCGACACAAGCTCTGTACGATCGCGCACGGCGGGCCATGGCGGCCAAGCATTCCAACACATCGCGGCGAGAAGGGGCTCACTCAACGCGGCGGCCATGGACGCAAGACGAAGAACAGGCGCTTATGATGGGCCTCGACATGGTGAAGGGGCCGCATTGGAGCCAAATATTGGGGCTCTTCGGGCCCAATGGATCTGTAAACCACGTCCTCAAGGATCGCAACCAGGTTCAACTGAAAGACAAAGCTAGAAACCTGAAGCTTTTCTTTCTCAAGTCTGGATGTGAGATTCCCTTCTACCTGCAGCAGGTCACAGGGGAGCTCAAGACGCGAGCGCCTGGGCAGGCGGCGCGGAGGGAAGCTGAAGAGAAAGAGCGACTGGGCTTGGAGGAGCACCGAGCCACAGTCGAGGGCATAATGACACTGAGCGGTCTCCAGAACGGCCAACTCGACGGTGGGCACGCGGTAGGCTCACCGGCCCAAGCTAGCTCCATGACGTTGGGAGCATCGCCCTCGGCATCGGCGCCGCCTGTGGTGAGCATGGCATCGGCCCCACCAGTGCCTATTCCTCCATTGATCAAGGCGGAGGTGCCGGGGCATCAGGCACATCAGCCGGGGAGGCTGGCAGCGATACAGCCGGCGCAGACGTTGGCAACACCGATGTCCGCACCTGCTCCGACTGCACAGACGCAACCGACGCTGAAGCCTCAGCCGCCTCCACAAACCAGTCCGTACCAAACGGCAAACTACGGTACTCGGCAACCGCCTTTGCCAGCATCCCCATACCCAGTGCCAAATGGTACTCCGCAAGCGCCTCCGCAGACAGCTTCATACCAAACGCCGACCCAAGGCAGCCCGCAGCTGCAGCCGCCAATACCAGCGACTGCACCTCGTCCCAGTCCGACGCAGGCGCAGGCGCAGCCACAAGGTCAGTCAGCCGAGGCCACAAACCATCACGACAATGGTTTGTCAAGTGGTGCAGATCAAGCAGCGGCGGCCGAACAATCGGCTGAGGCCACGCTTTTCCAGACGCTGCAGGCGGCGCTTGCCGATGGCCAGAGCCAGGTTGCGCCGGTGGCGCCAGTTGCCCCTGCCAGATCGGACTAGTTGTCTGTCGTATGTCTTTGAAAGACGGAGTCAAGGATAGGAGTAACGGAGTGGCTTTGGCTTTGAATGTATGTTGGGTGGGCGTCTGGCGGCAAAAGGGGTCAGGGCAATGGGACTGGACACTAGCAGTGATGATACCCGGGCGGCAGATTTTTGTTTTGTCGGCGGCAGCGGCGAGCGCGATCAGTCAGGAATATTTTTTTGACGTGGTATTGCTATAGCGCATATTTTAGTGAAGCTCATGGACACAGCGATGTATTATGAAACCATCACTCATCCCGTTGTTAACCCCGCCGTGGGCTCCGTGACGATTACCGACCTTGACGTAAGCAGCGCTAACCGGATCGGGGAGTATCTAAGCATTTGCCGTTGGTTTCGGCAGTTTAGTCAAGCTGACCGAGGGGGGCCGCGCGGGGACGAAGTGGGAAGCTTCAAGATATTTCTATCCCGCGCGGCCGTCTTTGTTTTCAGGTTTTTATTTTTGTAGGAGTTATGTATAAGTATCTGTCTTGTCTTCTTATCAAATGAAGAATCTACTTTTTCTGGCATCTATACTCATCGGCATCGCTTCCATTGCTTTTGTTCCAAGCATCTTGAACAGATACAATCTCACTTCCCTGACATCGCACCTATTTAATACGGCTACGAGGAGGTACTCCGAGAAACCTACTGCTGGGAAACAAGCACCGGTGGATCAACTAGTCCTCGACACAACACACAAACTCGACCTCCCGCCAGACACGAGACTCGTCGCGACGGAGATGTCGGTCTCACGCGCCATCCGCAAGGTTTTCCTCGCTGTCGAGCAGGCCGAGGGCGCCGGAGCGAGAGTGCGCCGCTCGGTCGGCACGCCGCAGCTGCGCAACTTTTCGCCGTTCTTGATGCTCGATCATTTCAGCATCAAGCCCGGGGCTGGATTTCCCGATCATCCTCATAGAGGGTATGTTTTATTTTTCTCTCTTCTCCTCCTCTCAGAATATGTTTTTGCTGACAACGACAAAAAGACAAGAAACAATCACATATCTCCTGCAAGGCGGTGTCGACCACGAAGACTTCGCCGGCAACAAGGGGACCATCAATGCTGGTGATCTGCAGTTCATGACGGCCGGACGGGGGATCATGCACGCCGAAATGCCGCGGCAGAACCCGGACGGGAGCGCGAACGTCGGGCTGCAGCTCTGGGTCGATCTACCTGCTTCGCTGAAGAAGTGCGAGCCGCGGTATCGCGACCTCCGCGCGGCCGAGATCCCGCAGGTTGAGGTTGATGGGGGCCGCGTGAAGGTTAAGGTTATTAGCGGGCAGAGCCACGGGATCGACTCGGTCAAGGATCTGGCGTACACGCCTGTGTGGGTTTTGGATCTTGAGATCCAGCCCGGCGGGAGGGTCACGCAGCCGCTTCCTGAGGGGTGGAATGCGTTTGCGTACGTGCTCGAGGGGACGGCGATTTTTGGTGGGAAGGAAGGAGAGGAGAAGAGGGTGGTGGGGCAGTATCATAATGTTGTGTTTGAGCCGCAGGGCGAGGTGGTTCGGGTCGAGGTGGACGAGGGCGCCGACGGGCCGGCGAGGTTGGTCCTCATCGCCGGCACGCCGCTCGACCAGAAGGTCGTGCAGTATGGGCCGTTTGTGCTGAACTCGCAGGAGGAGGTGTATCAGGCTTTTATGGACTACCAGACGCACTCGAATGGGTTTGAGAGGGCTAAGGGGTGGGAGAGTGAGATTGGGAAGAGTATGGCTCATTAGAGAGGGAGGGAGGGAGGCTGTATATTTATTGGGAAAGGGGAGTTTGTAGATGGATACCTGGTTGAATTTTTTATGCTTTCAGTCATTTTACTTGGGGAATTTCTTATGTGATGGGTTGTGTTCGTATCATAGTAGACTGCTGTGCAACCGAGTGTCTGCCTGTCGGTTGACGGGCGCCATGTCGTGCGATGTAGTACAAACAAGGGCAGAACTATTTGAAGTCAACGACACTTTCCGGATTGAGTCTTGCGTTCTTTTTTTTTCTTTTCGAGATCGACTTGGTACTCATCTATGTAAAATTACGCGCACATGTCTTCTCGTCCTAGCAACAATAAGGCAGTCAGATGTAAAGAAGGTCTGACTGTGGTGGATTTGACTTTTTCGTGGGGGAGTGTCATAGATGTACCACAGAGGATGTTGACATTTCCATCAACAAACAGCCTCTATAGCTCAGTGGTAGAGCGCTTCACTCGTATTCCCTCTAGTCACTCTCTCAAGAAGCGAGTTAACAGAAAATGAGGAATTCTGAATGAAGAGGTCATTAGTTCGACTCTGATTGGAGGCATTGTGTCAGATCTCTTCTCCCTCTTAAAGAGGGAGAACATCTCTTTTTGTTTGTGACTCTTTTTTCATCAGACTACTTCTGGGTGGTTGTTTTGTATTGCAGTGTGATTCTTGTGTAGACAGAGGTGCCTAGGCAAGGTAGGTACTTCGTGCCAGGGGTGGGTCATACACACTCCCAACTTATTGAGTGAGCATACGGTCAGGGACGCTCTATATTGTATGAGTAGTGATAAGAATGTAATCAGTTAATTCATTCTTCGTATCCAAGGTAGGGAATATAGCCTGGCGGCTGGTGGAGGTCCTCAAAGGGAGAAAGGGGGTTTCGGTATGTTTTGTTGCCCCTTTTTTGCACTAACAATTTTGCTCATTTTTGGGGAATCAATCACAGAACAGTTGAATGTTGGCAACCAAGTTCTAGGGGCATATAATTACCTTCCTTTCTATGCTGCCAATCACAGATTGCTTCTTTTGCTCGTTCAATCTTCACACTCCCTTGACAGCTCTTCTTCTCAAGAATCCATCAAAGGGCATGGAGCATTCCTTGTCAAAGATTATCCCTTAGATGCTGGGAATGATAGTCTTGTTGGCGTTCCTCTCGCATTTGTCAACATGGGTATTGGGGCTGAAGTTCCAGTGATAATTGCGAGTTTGGCTCTTGTTGAGTGTGCTTTTCACCAACCTATAGCTTTTTTTGCATCCAGACGTGCCTCCTGTCCTCACCCCTGTCCTGGCTACGCTCTGCCACTTGGTTCCGACGTCCTCGAGAAAAAGCAGCGTTGGATAAAAGCTTGACACAATGCCTTGCTCGTCCCCTGATTTGGATCTTGCACACAGCTGGGGAGACCGACTTGGATCTACGAGCATCTATCTCCTCCAGAGTTATGTGCCACATAGAGGGGCCAGACCAATAATAGGCTTATCAATCTTGGTTTGGATGCAGAGAGGCAGAAAGAGTGAAAGCTCTTCACAGTCGTGTATCTGATTAGGGCTCCAACCGCCAAGTCACACACTGAGAGATCAATGTGCCCATTAATTCTTCTCCCACAAAACCACTTTCCTGTAGGTCTCCGCGGAATGGACTCTCGCCGAGGGGTTTGAAAATTCGTCATGTCAGCCGCCTTAGTCGAGAAGGATCCGCCTTATCCACGAGCCTCGGCGGTACTTTAGATGGACTCCGCGGAACACCACTGAATAAGCTACCTTTAATTGTGAAAGCTGAATATCCCACTAGGAGATTGCCTAGCTACTTACTGAAGCACACATATGTTGGAATTGAGGCATGCTAAGACCATCGAGGCTTTCCCCCATGGTCCCCACCATCCACGCAAGGCAGCTCTCAAAGTATGTGGATAAAGACTCCAGCTCCTCTTCATGTTGATGTCAACCCTTTTCTCCCCGGTCCAGAGCCAAGTCAAAGAGTTTTGGACTTCCCAAAGCACAGGATGGAGTGAAAAAGGTGAAGGCGGTGCCAACATATATCAGCATACCTTCTCATGCTATCAACCACTTTGTGACAATGACTCTCTCCAAATTCGTCCCGCTCGTCAAACGGTGGGTCCGTCCACACCCTCGACTCATATCAAAGCTTCTTGGAAGCATGTCTGTGAACATGCCCGCTGCCACCAAACGAGATCCCCCCCTCCCCCCTCCCCGCGGCGCGTGCTCCTCCCCCCCCTCCCCGGCGCAGTCGAACATGGGGCGGCTCCGACGACAGCCCAGATCGCGGCGAGGAGATGGTCTATTACCTCGACGCCATCCACGTAAACGGCGTCGTGACGGTATGTTGCAAGGCCAAGCGAAGTATTGTACGACTGGTGATGACGGGCAATGCCGCAGCCATTTACATCATGGTGTGAGCCCTCCGCTTCTCCCAGGAATGTGAGGTTGAGAGGAAGGTCATCTCCCTCCCCCCTCCTCCTCCTCCTCCGCCTCCCAGCATTGGCGCTTCCCCCCCGCCCGTAGCAATCGACCGCCTCCTCCCCCCTACCCCCGTAAACAAACCGCCGAACCACCACCACCACCATATCTTCATCCCAAAGCAATGTACTCGGCGGCGTGCGATACTCGGCGGAACAAACAAGCCAGCCAGCCAGCCACACAGAAACCCACCAACTGAAATAATAATAATAAAATCTTCCTTCTCTCTTCTTCTTCTCTTCCACCATCTCGATCGAGCTTCCCAACTTCGACCGCAAACTCGATCGAGCAAGCAGAAATCACCACCACGACACTGTGCGAGCAGAGTCGTTTCCCTGCTTGCTTTGCACCAGCTCACTCTCCGTAAGTTATCCTTCTCTCCTTTGTCAATTTTTCGTCACTGTTGCTTTGTTTGGTGGTGGTGTGGTGGTGGTGAAGGATCACAAGTGTGGTTTTTCGCCTTTTCCCGAGCACCAGGCCCGTGAAACTCTGAGGGTTTTGGTGGTCACCACCATCCCGGATTCCGCGGTGGCCTTTTTCCTGTTGGTATCAATGGGCATGAGCATCACGGCGGCTTGATGGGCCTTTTGGCGGGCTGGTGAGTATCACCATGTCTACCATACGAGGCGAGAGCTATCACGAGGCTGGAACCACCGCAAGGCGAGAGCCACTGCACGGCTAGCTGCGTAAGGCGAGTGCCGCCGCGAGGAACCACTGCAAGGCGAGAGCCGCTGTGAGGCTACCTGCGTGAGGCGAGAACCACCGCGAGGAACCACCGCAAGGCGAGAACCGCTGCGAGGCTAGCCGCGTGAGGCGAGAACCATCGCGAGGCTAGCTGTGCAAGGCGAGAACCACCGCGGATGATGGGCAGCACAAGGCGAGAGCCACTGCAAGGCGAGAACCACCACGAGGCTAGCCGCACAAGGCGAGAACCGCCGCGGACGATGGCAGCACTACCCCCAGGATGATCACCACAATCCTCACGGGTCAGTATCAAGCTCACGCTCAGCAAAACCACTGAGACGATGGGCATCACGCACATCACAGATCCTGTGTTAGGTCCGCTACCGCGCCGGCGGTTTGTCAACACGTCCCTGGACTTGGTGAAGCTTAGCTAGTGCTATAGCTCTCACCCAATGTCTTTTCCGCGCACAAGCTTCCAGCTTCACGGCCATCATCACATGTCCAGAACACCTCAACTGACTCTTCTTGCTTAGAACCAAGATCACAAGAATGGCGTCCCGGGACGCCCCCGAGCAGCCCACCGGCACCCGGCCGGTATTCGACATCCGGGCTGCCGGCCGTTCGCCGTCCCTCCCTGCGCCCACCGGACGCCCGGTGGGAACCATGTACAACTCCTTCGGGGTTTTGGTTCCCGCCAACAAGCCCCAGACCGTGAGTTAACCTGCTTCACTGATAACTGTGTTAACGAAACTGACCGGACGCAGACCAAGCGCTATATATCCACCGGGGGTATCTCGGTGGTGTCGGACGAGCCTGTGGTCACCCACGGGCTCCCTTTGTCGCCGGCGTGGGCGGCAAGTCCTCTCCCGGGTCCGATCCCGCGACGACCGGGCCCAACCATCGTCCTCACCGACGATGGCATTGTCACCAATGCGCTGGGTGTACGTTTTTTGTCCTTTTTTGGACACTGGCCATATGCTGATACTTTCGTCCCAGATCGACAACTATGCCCAGAACCGAGTTGGGACTGTCTGTGAGTCAATCCGTTCCCCAGTCTCGACGTGCAGAACACAAGGACTGACCTCCGTACCAAACAGTGTACCACGGCGCTAATGCCCAAGGTGGCGCCTTCTCATCGGCCTACCTAGGGCCGACTAGCAATGGTGAGTTTCATCGCCAAGCGTCTATGACCTAGCTCAGGCTAACAGAATGGATAGAAAGCGAGCAGTCGGAGAAGAAGCCTGCTGCTGCCGTCACCGGACGGAAGAAGAAGACGTATCCGGATCTGCGTGAGCTTGGCCCGGGATCTCCCCCTCAGGGAGTGAACGACGCCAACATCTACCGTCAAGCGTCCAACAGCCCGTTCGCGGGAAACTTTGGCCTTGGCGGCAGTTACTCTGCATTGCCGGGCACGTCCTCCATTCCGGGCCCGTCTTCGCAGATCAACACAGGCTTCCAGGTCTCCGACGGTTACCACCAGCAGTCGCATGTCCCGGGCATACAGCAGTCCTCCCTCCTCGGCCAGTTCGAGCTTGCCAGCACCGTGGAATCGCAAGGCAGCCACATTGCCGTTCTAGAGAAACAGTAAGCCTTTCCCCCTCTCTCGCACAGTGTTGTCTGCCGATGGCCGTCCTGATCACGTGCTGACGACCCGGATAGGATATCTGCCTACGAGAAGAAGCTTGCAGACGACGAACAGAAGCTTGAGGCCTTCGAGCGGAAGATGGCGTCAACCGAGTCGAAGCTCTCTGAGAGAATCGCTGCCATGGAGGCCAATCAGGCTGCCGACGTCCAGGCCAGGGACAAGCTGGCTGCGCTGGAACCCAGATTGGCTATGCTCGAATCCAAGCTGGCCGAGCGCGAGAAGCAGCTCTCTGAGGCTAACTCGTACATTGCTGAGCTCAACGGCAAGCTCGCTGATGTCCGCCACGCGCACGAGGAGGACGTGACCGACCTTCTCTACTACAAGGGCCAGGCGGAGGAGTATAAGTCTCGGCTCGAGTCCCAGGAAGCTGCTCTCCAGAGCTACAAGGACAAGATTGAGCAGCTGGAAAGCGAGAAGGCCGCGTACCTCGAGAGCGTCGAAGACAGCGATGACGAGAGTAGCGAGATTGAGGGGAGCGAGAGCGATGGACGGAAGATGGTCGGCCATGAGGATGACAAGGATGAGAAGCATGGGATGATGGTCGCTAAAGTCGAGAAGAATGAGGATGAGGACGGTGAGAGCTCGGACGACAGCCTGCCCATGTACACCCTGACCGATGAGATGGGTCGCCCCGGAGGAGTCCGACTGAGTCCCAAGTAGACCACACTTGTCGTGTCGACATGTTCGCTGCTAGCTGGAATGCGCTTGGGCAGTCATGGACAGGAGGGTAGCTAGGGTCTGGGTCTAGATAGAAT